TGGCGGGTCTCGAACCCACGGGCTCAGGCAATCCACTCACCTCAGCCTCCCAAAGTGCGGGATTACAGGCTGAGCCACCGAGCCCGGCTTATACAAGAAATTTGTTGAATACACACTTACTATAATTACCATGTGGTTTAAAAACAATTTATGTAACGTGCTTAACATAGGGTAGTCGAAATTAGGTGCTCACAAAATGATAGCTATTATCGTGGGTCCAAAAAAGCTATCTTACTATGTGTGTGTGCGCTTTTTTTTGAGTCGGAGTCTGTCACCCAGGCTGGAGTGCAGTGGCACGCTCACAGCCACTGCAGCCTCTACCTGCTGGGTTCAGACAATCCTTCCACCTCAGCCTTCCAAGTAGCTGGAACCACAGGCGAGAGCCACCATGCTCGGCTAATTTTCTGATTTACTGTAGGATTTACTGTAGAGACAAGGTCTCGCCATGTTGCCCGGGCTGGTCTCAAACCTCAGTTTCACTGGGCCCAGGCAATCCTCTTGCTTCTGCCTCCCAAAGTGCTGGGATTACAGGCGTGAGCCCCCGCGCCTGGCAGCTATCTACTGTTAAAGAGCATCTATCTCTGAGCAAGGCAGCCAAAGGCCTATAAACTCTGCTTGCCACCTTGTTTCTCAACTTCTATTTCCCTAGTCACAGCCTTGGAAATTAGCTCTTTAACCCTAACTGCAAGAAAATATATCAAATTATTTACTAAGTAAGGGGAAAAGAAACCACAAACTGCTATATTCCCTTTTCCTACTCTGCTCTGCCTCTTTAAGGAGATAATGTAAAACAGAGGTGACGTGAAGCCATGCTGTGAGCTCTGGTTTGGTAACATAGTCATCAAGCTACAAAGCCATGGCACTTCACAAGGGCTAGATTCTTGGATGACAAACGCAGAGACACGTGCCTCCCAAAGTATTGAGAATTTGGGGTTATCTCATGAAGGAGCATCTATTGCTTTGCTTGATTAGCACAGTTCTCATAGTTCCAAAGGGCTAATCCAACGTCTAGTTCTAGGGGTGGGCACATGACTTAGCTCCACCAATCAGAGCCTTCCAGCATCTCTGACCAAAATGACAGGTTCAGGAATAGGCATGTGAGTCAGATCAGTCTAGTAAGAAGCAATTACATGCAAACACTGGGAAAGAAACATTTCCACTGGGCCTGCTAAGCTGATATATGTCTGGGGCCAGTGCAATTCTTCTTTTTTAAGTGGAAAACCTGTAACACTGAGGAAAGCAGTCCTGAGAGGCCAACATGGAGATCAAGTCTTGATGACACCATCTGACCCCGGATGTGGCAATTTCTCAACTTCCCAGTTACTTCCCAATTAAGCCAACTAAAATTTCCCTTTTGGGCTTAAGCCAGTTCGAGCTGTACTTACTATCACCTACAGATGAAAGAACTTTGGCTACCACAGCATAGCAATGCCACAATACACAGCACGAGTTCAGTGGGTAGAGCTGACAAGCAGGAGGCTGAATTTCTCTTCTGACCCTTCTCCTTAGCGGGAAGAATTATCAAAGGGTTCTTACTTAGTCTGCTTGTTGACTACAATCACAGAACAATCGACCGGCCTTTCAGCATCAAAGCGTCTCTGGATTTCCTCAAAATATTGACGATAAAGTTCTTCTCTACGCCGTTCCTCACGTTTCAAACGTTCTGCAAGATACCACCAGTGAAAACTGTGATAAGAACTGGGTCCTTCTATAAAAATAAGCCACAGGCCTTATTTTGAATCCTGAGTTACTTTAGGCAAAGGTCACAACACACAAATACACATTAATTTTGTAGTCTACCTCCTAAAAATAACCAGCTTTAATATTTTTTACTATTATAAATTCATCAAAATGTAATGGATGGATTAAAGGGCATGACCACTTAAATGCTTCATCTGATACTTACTGCCAAACTGTCCTCTAGAAAGGCTGTCACTAATTTAAATCTCCACGGAAGTGAATCTCTAGTGCCTGTTTCTCCACACCTTAGTAAACAATGGGTAATGGCATTTTTAGTAATTCTTGCCAATTTGGCAGATAAAAGCGATATTTATCATTATTCTAACTGCATTTTTGCTGATGTGTTTTGAGAAAAAAAAAATCAAGTAATAAAAATTTATACCAAATTAAACACGATGTTTTCAAAGATCTCAACTTGGTCAGGTATGAAATAATTTTAAAATCTTTAAAGATGCACTGAGAAGGGCTAGGCACAATGGCTCATGCCTGCAATACTAGCACTTTGAGAGGCTGAGGCAGGAGCATCGCTTGAGCCTAGGAGTTCAAGATCAGCCTGGGTAACATAGTGAGACCCTGTCTCTATAACAAAAAACAAAGAAAATATATATATTTTAAACATATATATTTGTCTTTAACTAAAAAAGATAGGCTGTTAGGTAAAAAATATTAAAAAACAAACAAAAACCTATATTGCATAAACAACGCATGCAGTCATAGTTATCTGGTCAATGGGCAAAAAGCAAGCACTTATCTTCAGCTCTAATCTTTTATTCATTAATTGCTGCTAGAATTTCTTATTTACTTCTTGTTGGATGACTAAATCAATGATGGTACTGATTTACATTTTTAAGATTATTTTCAAGCCAAATGTTCTTTATACATGAACAGGCTATTGGCATTTCCTCCTTCTATGAACTGCAAGGCCAAGTCATTAGACAACAAATGCGTTATCAGACATACACCATTACGATTAAACCAACTCTCTTCCACACGACTATCCCCTTCCATTATTCCTCGGGCACTACCATCTTGCGTGAAACCAGCAACCTCATCCAATTCAGATCCCTCTTCTCGCTCAGGGCCCATAAAACTTGGGGGTAGCTAGAGTGAAACTATAGTCCCTTTTCAGTGGGGTATTGGTTATCAGTCTCTTCTCTCTTTCATCAACTGTTCTATAAGTAATAGGCACAGACTGTTTCTGCTACTTTACCTTTTGCACGAGACTGACTTTCTGGGCCTGGAGGGCCTCGTCCATCAAAGCTATCTCTGTAACGGTCAAAGTAAGAGTCGTCCTTTCTCCTGCAATAGTCATCCATTCGCAGGTATCGGTCATAAGAGCCTTCTCTCCTGAAAAGTTAAGGAGATTTTTCACAAAGATAAACCTGTCCTATCCTGCCAAAATCAAATATAGGTAATTCTTTGGGATTAGACAAACAAGGTTTATATCTGGGACTCACTGCTTATAAGCTCCGTGGCTGTGACTAAGTTAGCCTGTCTCACAAAATGATGGGAGAGGATGAACAGAGATGATGAATAGAAAGTACCTGGCATAGTCCTTGGCATACAGTAAATGCAAAATAACTGGAAGAAATCATTGATACTAATTTTGAGAAACCATTCTATGACCCTTCAATGTCCTTTCCTTGTGCTTTTAAAAAATTGTAGTAAAGTATATATAATTCTAATTTGCCATTTTAACCTTTTAATACAACCCAGTGGTATTACATTCACACTGTTGTGCAACCATCACCATTATCTAATTCCCAAATTTTTCATCACCTCAAATAGAAATTCTGTACTCATGAAGCAATAATACACTTCTTCCTCAGTCCTAGTAAACTCTAATCTGCTGTCTCCATAAATTTGCTAATTTTTGACATTTCATATAAGTGGAATAACAATATTTGTCTTTTGTGTCTGGATAATTTCACTTAGCATGTTTTCAAAGTCCATCTTTGTTATAACAGATCAGAACTTCATTCTGTTTTATGGCTGAATGGATATACCACTTAAAAAAAAAACCATTCATTTCCTGATAGACTTGGATTTCTGCCTTTGGGCCACTGTGAATAGTGTTGCACGCACATTCACATACAACTATTTAAGTTCCTCTTTTCAATTCTTTTGGGTCTATGATCGGGTTGGAATTGATAGATCATATGGTAATTCTACATTTAATTCTTTTAGGAACTGCCAAACTGCTGTCCATAGTGGCTATACCATCTTGCATTCCCACCAGCAATTTATAAGGGTTCCAACTTCTCTACATCTCACCAACACTAGTTATTTCCTGTTTTTTAGTCTGGGCGTGGTGGCTCATGCCTGTAATCCCAGCACTCTGGAAGGCCGAGATGAGAGGATTGCCTGAGCTCACGGGTTCAAGACAAGCCGGGGCATCTTGGTAAGACCTCATCTCTACAATAAATAAAAAAATTAGCTGGGTGTGGTGGGGCATGTCTGTAGTTCCAGCTATTTGGAAGGCTGAGGCAGAAGGATCACCTGAGCCCAGCAGGTCAAGGTTGCAGAAGCCGTTGAATGTGCCACTGCACTCCAGCCTGGGCTACAGAGTGTGACTCAAACTCAAAAAAAAAAAAAAAAATACATATATATATATATAAAATATTATAGCTATCCTAACAGGTATGAAATAGCATTTCATTGTGGCTTTCATTTGCATTTCCCCAATGACTAATGCACACCTTTTCACAATTTTTTGGCAATTGTGTATTCCCCATGTTTTTGTACTGCCAACACAATTTGTACTCCATTTCTTTATTCCTTTGTACAGTGTTGCCTTTCATAAGACACAGGGAGAGACCCAGATTCATTCACTGAGCATAATTCATCAATCATTCACACATTCAGTAAAATGTATTGAGCAGCACATCTACCACTTGATAGACATTTGGAAATATGAGGCTGATAAAGTTGCTGCCCTTACAGTGGCTTTCAAGTAGTAGCCAAACACACATGAAAAGGACTTATAAAAAGCAAGCAGGACAGCTGTGTATGTACCTGTACATGGGATCTCGGGAGTCTCTCATGTCTCTGTATCTGTCGTACACTGGGTCCCGGTGATCTCGAAAATCCCTGGAGTCTCTCAGATCACGAAAGTCTCTAAGATCCCTCATGTCCCGAGCATCACGTATACCTCTGCTGTCTCTGTGGTCCCGCAAGTCTCTACTATCTCTGTGGTCCCGTAAGTCTCGGGGGTCTCGAATGTCTCTGCTCTCCCGGGCATCCCGGCCATTTCTGCCATCCCTGTGCTCTCTCCTTGGACTTCCTCGAATTGGGGATCGATCACGTCTTGAATCTCGACTGTCTCCAAAGCCATACGGATCCCTGTGGGAGGTAGCAAGAAGATGTTAAGACAAAAGAAACTGAAGGTAACCAACCCATCAGCTCTTTATAGGAGAAAGCCCGCACCCTCCAAGCATTTTCAAAACAGGGCAGCCGAACAGTGAGAATATGACTAAAATTTTAAAGGCAGTCATCCATCTAGTCAGCAAATAAAGTCCAGTAGGTTCTGGAATCTTGAAAGATTAGGACATCAAAGGAAGAATGCATAATCAAAAGCCAAAGCTTCTGACTAGTAATAGTATTCATCAGACTTTAGGGAGTAATTCAGTATTCCTTATCCATGCCAAACTGTCACCTCAATTTCTGTATGTTTTCAAGTGAAAGTATCTTTCCTCTAGGACATATTTTCTTCCACCAGACTTGTTTAAAAGAGACATGACAAGGGTTAATAAGGGAGTGGGAAGATACAGGGCAAGTCTCATAAAGAAAGCAAGCAAATGGCACAGTCCCATACACGCTAATCAAAGGAGTTGTCCTTAAAGTGCAGAAAACTTCACTTAAAATATCTAGCAGGATAATAAAATTAAGAAAAAAAGTGTAATATCATATAGTAGAGGATTCAAGAGCAATCAGATTTTCTGTCTTCTTACAGAGCTATGGAGTAGTGGTTTGTCTCTCTTAATCTCGCGGTTTATGTAGACTTTGGTTCCTTTTTGTCCCAAGGGTTTACCAAGTTTTAAGTTCTTAAAAGTTAACTTTGATTCTTCTTCCTCCATCCCATTAAGTCACTGAATCCTGTTCATTTTTTCTTTCCATTCTCACTGCATTTATTAGGCCAATCCAAGCTCTTATTTCTATATTGGTACCAACAAATTTCCAGAAAAAATTAAAACAGAAATCAATCTTCTGGATTTCAATTCTTAAGTCAACACACAAATACTAGATTAACCATTCTAACATGCCAATTTCCACCTGGTATCAATTGCAGCGTGGCCATCATACCTCTGGGCACCCCACAAAACTGGCTTCTTACTATTATCTTCCCCTCATTTCCTAATCCAATCATTTCAGTTGTACTTAAGTTCTTGTGACTTAATTCACACGATGCATCTATCTCAACATTTTTGTTCATATGATTTCTCTACTTGGAATATTTTCTCCACACTAATCCAAGTAACAATCCACACAGGCAAGTTCATGTTTCATGTCTTCCAAGAGACCTTCCTGCCCTTACAAGTAACGGTTGCTCCTTTCCCTTGCTCAGCTCAAAACACTCTCTATTACTCATCTTGATCTGGTATTTACCTTTTTACATCTTATGTCTGACTCACTTCAAAGATTACTTCCTCCATAAAACCTGTCCTGAACTCTTGATCTTCGCCACAAGTATGTTGCTCCTTCAGGCCTTCCCATCTCAGTAATAGCACATCCATCTACTCAGTTGCTCAAGCCAGGAAACTGAATGTCATCCTTCCCATAAAGGATGACATTCATTCACCCTTCCAACCACATTTCCAAGTTATGCTCATTCTCTCTCTGAAATTGCTATCAGTTCTGCCCACTTTTTGTTTTTACTTTTGTTCTGCTTTTTGGTGTCTTACTCTGTTGCTCAGGTTGGAATGCTGTGGCACATCACGGCCACCCCAGTGTTGGCCTGCTGGGCTCCGGCGATCCTTCTGCCTCAACCTTCCAAGTAGCCGGAACTACAGGCACACACTACCATGCCTGGCTAATTTTTGATTTATTGTAGAGACAAAGTCTTGCCAAGTTGCCTGGGCTGGTCTCGAACCCGCGGGCTCAGGCAATCCACTTACCTCAGCCTCCCAAAGTGCTGGGATTACAGGCTGAGCCACTGAGCCCGGCTAGAGTGATCTTTTGAATACATAGTCCCTTTTACTGGTATCCCACTGTGTGTGTGTGCGTGCGCGCATGCATGCATGTGTACTTATTTGTGTGTCTATTTGTATAGAGGTGAGATCTTATGTTGACCAGGTTGCAGTGCAGTGCCTATTCACAGGTGGGATTATCGTACACAACAGCCTTGAACTCCTGGGCTCAAACGATCCTCCTGCCTCAGTCTGAGTGGCTGGGACTACAGCTGGGTGCAACTGTACCACGTTCCCATAGTATTTAAAATTCAGTCTAAAATCCTCTAACAGTGTGAGGATGGTCTTGCATGATCTTGGCTCCTGTCTTCTCCAACCTCGTCCCACCCTCTCCCTAGTTTACCACTCTCTTGCCAAATTGGCCTTTCAGTTATAACTAGGTGAGGCCTTTCCTGATCTCTGCACATAAGTAGCAGGTAACACCCATACTCACTTTCTAGGTCTCAACATATAAATAACCCCTTTCTCTTTTTTCAGAGATGGGGGTCTCACTCTGTTCCCCAGGCTGGGGTGCAGTGACACCATCATAGCTCACTGCAGCCTCCAAGTGATCCTCCTGCTTCAGTCTCTGGGGTGGTTGGGACTACAGGTATGCGTCACCATGCCCAGCTTATGTTTTTGTAGAGATGAGTTCCTGCATGTTGCCCAGGCTGATCTTGAACTCCAGGCCACAAGTGATCCTCCCAAAGGGCTGGGATTATAGGTGTGAACCACCATATCTGGTCTTATAAATATCCCTTACTCCCTGATTCTGTTAGATTAAAAGTTTACCTTCTGTCCTTAGGTTATCATAGCACTTGGTTTTTATTTAAGTCATTTATCACAAATAGACATTACATATTTATTTACTTGTTTAATGTCTGTCTGCTTTACTAGATTGCAAGCTCCACAAAGACAAGAACTATGTTAGTTTAATTCTGCACTTAGGTAGAATACTGGCACATGGCAGATACTCTATGAATATATTATTGCACTTATCACACTGTTCTGCAATTATTCGTTTACACAGCTTCCCTACCAAATAGTAAGTTCTCTTGAAAGCTTTGTATCACTAGGATACAGCATGAGGGTTCAATACATGTTTAATAACCTATTTTATTAAACTGTAAGCCTCTCAAGAGCAGGCAACACATTTTGTTTATATGTTTGTCATCTACCTTGATTACACATATTAGGCATTTATCATGATGTCATCAGCATGGTAGGAAAGCTCATTTCATCCACATAGGCACAATAACACAATTTAAGTGCCAATTTTGCTTCTATGAAAAAGTCCTTGTCATGTATTTTAAGGTTCATTAACATTCCTGATTTGTGGGAGCACACATATGGCAGACCAGGAAATTTAAATAAGGATTGCTAAACATTATTTTTCTTATTAGAATAAAATGCAGACTGGCCGAGTGCGGTGGCTCAAGTCTGTAATTCCAGCACTTTGGGAGGGCAAGATGAGAGGATTGCCTGAGTCCATGGGTTTGAGACCAGCCGGGGCAACTTGGTGAGAACTCATCTCTACAATAAATCAAAAAAATTAGCCGGGTGTGGCAGTGTGCACCAGTAGTTCTGGCTGCTTGGAAGGTTGAGGCGGAAGGATCGCCTGAGCCCAGAGGATCGACACTGGGGTGGTCGTGAGTGTGCCACTGCATTCCAGCCTGGGCAATGGAGTGAGACTCCAACTCAAAAAAAAAAAAAAAAGAATAAAGTGCAAACTAACCAAGATTCTTATTTCAACTTTCCTATTAAGTCATATAATCCTCCTAACGTGTGTAAATCTGATGTAGTGTATCATGTGGGCAAACACACTCAAGATTCTATGTTAAGGGCTAACTGCAAAGTATTTTTGGATTATTAATGATCAGCAGATAAACCTGCCTTGGGGAACAGTTAGTAGTCATTAGGGGTGGAATCTGATTTCAAGTATCTTGGCAATTAGGGCCGAGATGTTATGAGACTGACAGACCACAGACCACAAACAAAGCCTTGGGTTGGTGGAAATGAGAGTGAGGATGCAGATAAGAACACCATGTCACAGTATGCTATTCACAGTCCCAGAACAATTATAAATGCCACATTTGGTTCTCATTCTTTTGAATCCATTGGAAAAACCTTACTTACCTGTCAGAGTCCATCCCTCCAAGTTGACTATACCCCTAGATTCACAAAGTCTGGGTTCAATCTTCCAGATTGAGGCGACAAGCCCCCTTGTTGCCCTCAAGGAATCTAAAGTCCATGTGCAACAAAACTACTAATACTCTTTCTAGTGCTTTCTGGGTAAAAATGTAGAAGACATGATACTCCCAAGTGGAAAAAGAACCAAAAGAATGGTGGAAGTAGGGACAGAGAAGATGATAACTCTTTAAAAGGCAAAGCCTTCTTCCTTTCTCCAAAAGATGAACACTATGGCAGACTGCTGTTCTTCTGCAGATAAAAACAAAACAAAAAACCCGTTAAGGTCACTTTAGGACCCAAACAAAGAACTCCTCAGAACAAAAGGGCTCCTGCTGCTGGCCCCAACATCTTTCTCAAAACAAGAACACAGCTAACAACAGTGTGCAGGATTCAGAGTGTGAGAGGACAAAGCCTCCTGCATGAGATGCTGAACCTCAGATGATAAGTGGGTTAGAAGCAGGATTCTGGAGCATAAAAAGTTCACAATATCATCCCGTGGCACCAGAGGTGTTTCACTAAAGGAAACCAAATGTAGCATATCCTCAGGTACTACACATCACTGGAGGCTATAAAGAAACCGAACAGTGGTTAAATAAATTTCAGCACTGGAGTCTACAGATTGAAGGCAGGTGGAAAACACAACTAAAATTCTGCTGTAAATTCCTCATCTATTCAGCAGGGGGGAGAAAGACAAATGCTCTTTGCCTTGAGAGGAATATAGTCACACCAATGGGAAACATTTGCAAGGTAAGGGAGGGATGGGTGAAAGGGAAAACAGTGGCTTTGATGGCAAGTGATGTGCTTCTGGTAGAATGCTTATTTTCCTGAGGAATAAAGGGATGTGCAGAGCACTAGGCATCTGAAAGCCTACAGAGTAAGAACTCACAGATTATCTTGCAAGACTTTGAGCTTCTCTTCGATAAGAGACTGAAACCTCAGATCCAGGAGAGTGTTCTTTGGCCTTGATTGTACAGAAGTTCAGGGATGAAGGCCTCTGTCTTTTTCTTTCTTTTCTGCAAAGAGCAGCATTTCCTTTTTTCCTTTTTGTCCATTGAAATATCTTCCTTGGGAGGGTCAGGCCTTTTTTATTGGCCCTGAAAAAATCCTTCATCAGCTCTTCAAACTTTTGTCACAGATATAATGTCCACAAATATCATTATCTCTAAATGGCTGGCTGCTGTGTGATGTTGATTTCCCACCATGACAGATCCATGCTACTGTTAGAAATGAAGACAACAGACTTGAGCTGAATTTTGTTTGCCATTAGGTGCAGACAGGATACAGGGTGCAATGATATTGCACCTCACAGATCCAAATTTTATAAGTGACCATGCTTCTCCTAAGGAAGCATGCTGATGACTTTCTCAAGCACAAATATGACTTTTCTATTGGTGGAGGTGGCACTTGCTGAGAACTGACGACTCTTCTTCAAGTGTTAGTGCAGAGGTCATCATAACCTGGAATTTTTGTGAGGCCTGCTTAGAGTGAAGGCTCTCATACCCAAGGAGCAAGCAGTTATCAAAGGAATCAATGCCCTGTGGATAAGTAGAAAGCACCTCAGGTCATATAAGAAACTTGTCTGTAGCCAGGTTATTTCTGATGAGCTAATCCCCAATGGTTTCCACCGGATACCAGGCTTAACATCCTTCACAAATATATGGGGAAAATCTTCTGCAGAGCTTTTGGATGTAGACAAGTTAATTCTATTCGTTCTTCGTACAGGAATACAGTTTTACTTCTATTAATTCTTGGAGGTCACGTCCACACAGGAGTATGTTCCAAGATCTGGACTGCCAAGGTGTTGAGCTGAAGATGGTAACTGGACATCTAAGGTACAACCAGAATCACAATCTATTCTTGGAAGAAGAATTAATGCCTAGTATTAATGTTAGATAACTTGCATGGTACCTATGTAACGTACTCATAGGAGTCCAATGAAGTGGCCCATGGGTTAAATGCTAAGAATTCAGGCTAAAATGTGATCCAGAGTAGGGATCCCTCATGCAGAGCTCTGTGCTTGGCTGGGCTAACATTGACAGAATTATACATCCACAGCTGGAGTCATCAGGGAGGCACATTACTGAACAGAAAGCAGAACTGTGGCTTACAGAAACATTTGAAGAGGTGATAATCCTGTGAAATCTTCCAAAGATACCTAGGTGTTTTGACACTCCAGGTTAAAATCCACCAAAACAAGGTACTATGAAGGTCTTGCCAGCATGCTTAAAACCAATATTCTCATTAAAAGTAGAAGCACTAAAGATGCAGAGGTACACCTTAAAATATTTGCCATAGGTGCAGTGTTTTTTCCCTGTGAACAATGCATCCCCTATGTGCCCATAAAATGATTAGGGCTGTTTGTTGTTATTAACATACTGGTACATTTGGAATTACCTCAAGGCTTTGATTAGAAGCATGGATCCTAATAAAGAGATATCCAGTGTTTACCCTCAGAGAAATGATTTGCCCCTTCCAGGTTAACCACACCCATCTTGCCTCCTCTCTGTACAATTTCTGCCCTATTGGTGTATCTTAAGAGATAATGCATGTTCAGGACAATGATCAAAATGTTAGTGATCTATTTTGAATACAATGTTCAATTTATTTTGCTTTGGTTTTGGGTGTATTTTGTTTGCTTGTTTTTTTAAAGGTAAAAAACTGAGACTCTTAGCTCAGGATTTAGATGGAGCACTGAACAGATTTTACTAAATGTGACCAACCTTCCCTGAAGCAATATGCAGGACTGTATGGAACTTCATCATGTTAAATAACATGCTGAGGAACCCAGTTAAGGACATATCACCAAGGGGAAGACTGACTGTTAATGGAATTTAAATTAGCCTAGCTGTCCCTTCTGTTGGTTATAAATAAAGCAGGAAGTCACTGCCCTATCTACCTCCAAAACAACTTCATTTTACAATTTGTTTCTAAGAAAGGTGATATTTATATAAAGGTGACTTACAGTTTTTTAATATATACCTGGTAAGGAATTCATTTTAAAAGCCCCTTTCCAATGTTTTATATTTGTGAGGGGATTATTATTTTAAAAAAGAAAAAAAAGTATGAAGCTATTTCTCTCCTTACAGGTGAAATTATGGAATTGCATTTTAGGTTGGGATGAAATTAACCTTTTAAATTTAATATCCTGGCAATGGTCATATTGGATTCCAACCACGGAAGCTGGTTATCCCTCAACTCTACAATGTACGTTCAATTGGAAATGTTAAAAAACATTTGGCTAAGTACTATTAACAGGATGACATAAAATACCCTTCTCAACCCATAACAGAAACTACTCTCTATTCTGCAATGTGCCCTGTCTTTTAATCGTCTGCAGAAATACACAGACATCATTATTCATCAAGCATCATGGGGACAACAGAGATGGGGAAGATCTACTAGAGTGTCTTTTATAGTCACAAACTTCATGCTCCTTCTGGTAAGTTACCTAATTCAGAAACATTCACATTAGAGCTCTTCGGAAATTGGATACACACAGTTTCCCCTTTCAAGCCATTTGGCAACTACAGCTTCCAATGGTAACCCTGAATTTCTGACTCTTAAATGCAAACTCTTAGCCACCTGTATTCTGTTTATTGGGCCAATGAGGTGCAATGCAGATGGGACTGCCCAACATCTGCAGCACGGTTAGATGCAGCCTCATGGAAGCATATGTTATTATATGGAAATGGTGAAGTTCTGCAGGATTCATTTATGTTCTCAGGACACTCACACATACACCCAAATCAACCACCAGAGTATTTACCTGCAAGCTGTAGGCATTCCTTGTGGTTTAAGAAAAAGAACAGACAGAATACCAATGTATATGCCCACTTCTGTGTGAAAACAATGGATGGCCAGGGCCTCCATCTGACAGCAGTGATGCAGGTAAAGTTGTGGCATTGGATTCAACTCCTCTGCCCAGGCAGAGTGGACAAAGAATCCAACCGAAACCAGAAGCATTATCTTGGCTCTAGGATCTGCCTGAACTCTGCAGAGTGGACATGTATAAACTATTCTGGTAGCTAGAACTCTCTTCACATCCAAGGAGGAGTATATACATGAAACACACAGCAACCATTCTTTCTTCCAAGTTGATAACAAAATACAGGTATTTTTGCCCCAAAGCAGGACAGCTGGCTACATGTTACACGTAAGTGCTCAGTTAGTTGGATATATCCCCAGGTAACCTGTGGAGCTAGAGTAGGATTTATTATATACAGCACTATTCATTTCACTGTAGAAACGTAGTTTACAATGTAGTTTTTGTGGAAGACTGGTCTTTTTTACTTGGGGCAAAGGCAAAAATCCATAATCCACTTGGGCCTTGAAAAAATAGCATATATCCTATCTGCCTCCATTCCAACATAAAACCACACACACTGCATCCACTTCTGTGCTGTTATGGGGACAGAAAATTTGGATACAATATCCTCATCATTGGTATAGATGGTAACATTAACTAAGCTTTTTTTTGAGAGAAGAAACCAATTTAATGTGTATCTTGAAATTACACACCAGGACTATCTCTTTTGTAAATATTGGGAGGAAGAACATATTGGGAAACACCTTCTATTTCCAGGAAAGCTAAGAAAAAGGAAGACTTTTGAGAGGTGACGTGTTTTTGCCCTTTTTATTTCCCCTCAAACAGGTAACCCAAGCATGCGAGCAAACAGGGGATCTGCAGCACAGGCACGGCAGCAATCTCTCAAGCAGCACTTTCCGTAAACCTGGGTTAACATCTGGACCGGCAGTCATTTGGAATGAAGAGTTGAATCTCTGCTGCCTACTGCAGTGCAGCATGGCATACACCAACGACCCTGGGGCACTCCTTCTGCTCTGGAGGCTCCCAATGACACGTGAGCTGGGGACAGAGGTTTATCCTCTTCCAATTGCCTGTAACTCATGTTGCAAGCTGAACTTGCTGGGTTTGTCACCGAAAACACAAAGCTTCCTCTGCATCTCCAGATGTATTTTTTTAAAAAGCAGCAAGCCCTTCACACAGGTTCATGTTCTTATTGTTTGCTTGAGCGTTTCTGATTTGTTGGGGGGAAGAAAAGACCCTTGATGTACGAAGTTGGGCTTAACTCCCCAGAGCCCAACTCTCCCAAGGTAACTCACTGCTTCAGGGTACTTTACCTTCGTGTGGGAGGGCTGGGTCTTGATGGAGCCGTATTCATTATTTCTTCTTTCCGCTGCCTTATTAATATCTGAAAAGAATAATCAACCCATCTGTTCAATGCTATGGAATAAAAACAAGATCATCAGCACATTTCAAATGAAAGCAACAAAAAAATGACAATGACAACCAGATGGTGTAAGAAAATCCATTCAGCAGAGACAGACTGTCACTTGGGCAATTTTTATTATTAAGTTAAGGCAGTACATTGTCATGGCTTGGTAAGGAATGTCCCTCAGTTTTCTAGCTAACACATAATTTGTGCAAAACTAATTATGTCAATGCTTTAATACCCTGCCAAGCCCTAATCCTAACACATCCCCTCCAGAGGGGAGAAAAGGTTTGCTAAACTCTTGGAGAGCCAGTTGTAAAATTCTTTTTATGTGGGGAGGCAAGTGTGGGAAAGATAAGGGGAGTTTCAAAAACAGAACAAAGGCAAATAATTCTATTTTAGGTTACTAAGAAGTAACAGTTGAATTCTACTGTCTTAAAACTTTCAATATCCCATGAAGGAAGGCCTCCTTTTAGTGTGCCCTGTGATGCATTCCACTGAATAGACTCTTCCAGAATACGATGCAGGAGAGAAAATTATTTTTTTTTTATAAACAAAGAATGTGACTTAACATCTATACCCTTCATAGATAAATAACTAAGAATAGGAATTGGCCATGTATTAAGAAATCTATACCCCAAAATAACAACTGGCAATATTTGTATGAGTTGAAGATAAATAAGTGCTAGAAATGTCACAGTTCAGATGAATGGAAAAATAAAACTGCTTCCTGCTGCAGTATAGCTTTGTTCCGCTTGTTCCATATTAAACAATTATTAGTGTATCTAATGACATAAATGGTATTAAGTACTCACATAACTAGAGTGCTTTAAAGTAGTAATTATATATTTTTAAAATCCCAACCCATTCTATCACATGAAAGACCATAGCAACAAGAAGAAGCTTAGAGGTCTGGCACAGACTTTACCCTGCTATGTTGCCAACTTTTGAGTTCCTGTTCAAGTGAAAATACTCTTCAGTTCCATTTTAAATTAGCAGTCTCTATTATACCTAGGAGAATGGCTATTCACAAAGCTGAAGTCACCCTAAATAGTCAGAGAAGCATATCCTACACCTAAATTGCTTCTTACCTTTTCAATTAAGCAGACACAGGATATAATCCTTCTATTTTTTTAAACACCAGGAAATATTTTCTATGTTAAGATTTGACCAGCAATATCTGACTACAGCTTTGGTAATGCACATGGTACTTTCACAATTTACAATCTTTAAAGTTTACAAATGTCTAAATTACGTATTAAATAATGACAGGCCTTATAGGGAATATCCAGTTCTTTTATATGTAATTGAGAAGAACATTATCAGTTCAGGTTTAGAAGGACTTACTGACCTTGTGTGCTCACTTACTTTGAACCACTTTCTAATATAGGTTGGCTATGATTTGAGAGAAATATAATATCTTTGATTATTTGAGTAGTTTTCAGTGTCTCTGTAATATACTGGAGGTGTATTAAGGTTTCTTTTGAATAAGTCCATAACACTGGCAGGATCCATATATTATTAAATGGTCTTGTCAATAAGGAAAACTCATCTAAACTTTGACTAGACCTGGCAAACACTTAGGTGAGAGTATATTACATGCGGTACTACTTTGATAAGCTTCCATTAATGGCATAAATTGCCCTCTACATAGGCAAAGGAATATTACACTGTATAATTATACCCAGTTCTGTGAGTGGCTACATACAGGACTAAGGAGATCAAAGTGTTAATGTATAGGACAAAACCAGCTCCAGCAGAAGGAAGGATATAAATATTTTACTTTGAAGCTGGTGAGCTCTTTTTGCAATTACTTGAAAGATTATTTAAGGAAATTCACGACTGTATCTTTAAACCATCTTGACTGTAATTTGCCTATTTGCCTACTAGAATCCATTTTTATTGAGTAATTATATTTGGATGGCATGGGATCTTCTTCAGAAAAAAAAGGGAAAAGAAAAAGGTTTCAGACCATTTTCTTAACTTTAGGGGTTAGCACACTTTTAGTATGATATGTCAAGTGTTTGTTTATTTACCTCTACTTAGGAGTTCCTTAAACTTCCATCTTGACTGAGACATGGAGAAAATGAGACCTGGAATTTTCTTTATAATGTCTAATTTCTTTTTTTTTTTTTTGAGTTGGAGTCTCACTCTGTCGCCCAGACTGGAGTGCAGTGGCTGCTCCCAGCCACTGTAGCCTCGACCTGCTGGGCTCTGGCAATCCTTCTGCCTCAGCCTTCCAAGTAGCTGGAACTACAGGCGCGTGCTACTACGCCCGGCTAATTTTTGATTTTTTGTAGAGATGAGGTCTCGCCAAGTTGCCCAGGTGGGTCTTTGAACCCATGGGCTCAGGCAATCCACTCACCTTGGCCTCCCAAAGCGCTGGGATTATAGGCTGAGCCACCGAGCCCGGCCATAACCTCTAATTTCTATTCAATGGAATTACTTAGGTCAGGGTAGAGTTGGGAGGTTTTCTCCGTTTCACTGAGAATGGTGAAATTACAATTGCCAACATTACCACCAATCTCCATGCACCCCCAAAATCCTAACACATGTGTACATAAGACTTACGGTACAAGAATAGAGAAGCTACCCAAAGTACAATTAATCTTGGGGAGCTGACCACATAGAGCAAAGATTTAAGGAATCAAGATAAAACTTGCCCCATCCTAATTTTTTGTCACAGAACTTGAAAATCTGCCCATTGGAGGTAGTGGATTCATTTGAACAAGTTTTCCTTTGAACACACAAATATTGGGACTAGTAAAGGGGATTTCGTATTAACTAGTTTAATCAGATCACTTTCTTCCTAACTCCTTATAGAGACATATAATCAACACCAGGGAAACATAAATGATGTTAATGTAAAGGAAAAAGGAAAAAAGGTACAAAGACAATACGGAAATCTTTCTGGACGTCAGATGAGGAACAGAGACCGGAGAGAAGTTAATCAACCAGAGGACAGTGGCAACTCCAAGGAAAGATGGAATGACTCCTCTACACGGAATAGGGAAGACACAGTGCTTCTCCTTTATTCCGGCCAATTGCCTCTCAGACCACAAGTCAGTCTCCCAGTGCCTTCTCTACTTCACCTCGGTGGTACTTCTATACTTTATTATATTAGCAATGTGAATGCCATTCAAAATCATCATAGTCACCATGAATCAAATCTTGGTCTGAATATCTACAATTTCCAAGTGATTTTCTGAAAATAGTTACAAATATTTCTCAATTAAGATTTTTTAGACAAGAAAAACGGCACCAACTCAAGGGTATACATAAATGGAAAATAATCTAGAAAATATGCAGGAAGTGGCAGAGTGGTTTTAAACTACAAAAGAATGGGGTAAAGAACTCCCAAGGCAAGAGGCAATATCCAATCTACAATTTTATTTTAGACTCATATGCCAGACAGGGTTCACACAATGGTCTTTGGATAGTGCCATAAATAAAAATGCATGTTTCATTTATAATATGAAGAACTATTTTGCTCTACCTATTTTTAATTGTACCACCAATTATTTTTATAACTTCATAGTCTACAGCAATAGAAAACAATGAGGACTAGGAGTAGCAAGAGCAGTGTTAACATTTTTAAGAGGCCATTGGTTTGGACGGAGGTTCTGTAGTAGACCCAACAGATCAAACCAAAATGGAGTTACTCAAGCTGAAGCTCCATGCTACCAAGTCAACCCTTATAAGAAAAGTAACTTTGAAATGACCAATCTACTTTTTGTTCTTTGTTTCTGTTTTCCTCAACCCCCTTTTCTGACTCTAAAGTCAATCTCCTCTGCTCAAGTCATCAAAATACTCGTTCTATTTTACAGAATGAGGTGCTGATTCCAAAAATCACAAATAAAAGCTAATTAAGATCTTTAAACTAAATGTGGTATAGTTTTGTCTTGTGACAGCAGTATCAACCACAACACTTAGTGACAGTACCACCACTGGCTGAATCTAGAAGCCTAGAAAATTTTAACAACTGACTACAAATTAAATAAAACTCCCTAAAAAGCTTAGCTGAATTAAATAAAACTCCCTAAAAAGCTTAGCTGAAAATCAACTAACAACCAGGAACTACTAAAGTGGAATTCCATGGCAATGAAGATAATGCCACTTGGAAAATTATACTGACAAGACAGCTGATGTCACACATTAAATTCCTTAAACTGGGCTGGGTGTGGTGGATCACGCCTGTAATTCCAGCACTTTGGGAGGTGGAGGCAAGAGGATTGTCTGAGCCCATGGGTTCAAGAACAGCCTGGGCATCATGGTGAGACCATCTCTACAATAACTTTTTAAAAAAATCAGCTGGGCATGGTGGCACATGCCTGCAGTTCTAGCTATTTGGAAGGCTGAAGCAGAAGTATCACCTGAGCCAAGCAGGTAGAGGCTGCGGTGACTGTGAGTGTGCCACTGCACTGTAGCCTGGGTGACAGTGAGACTCTGACTCAAAAAAAAAAAAAAAAAAAAAAAAAAAATCCTTAAACTGGGAGGGGAAATTACAGGACTTCTCACTAAATTATTTTTATGAAGATGACTTTGATGATATATTGTAAGTTCAGGTAAACTGTAGCGAGTTATAGCTTAACAAGTCAAGAATAAGAGAATGATATGCTTGCTATGTTTCTAAACCAAACCTTTAAACTCACTTTGAATACTGTACACTTGCCTGACATTTAATTATCTCCTTCATTCTCTAATTAAAATAATCATTATATCCTTAATTGTATTAGAATTCCCATTCCTGGGAAAAGGAATGGGGGAAACAATAATTTATATTTACAGAATGTTTACTTTGTCCCTGAACCTGTACTAAGAACATTATGTGCATAATATTTCATTCAATTATTTTATAACTCTTGGAGTTAAGTATAATACTATTATGATTTCTCTTTTGCAAATAAGGAAATCTGAGGTTCAGAGAAGCTAAATGATTTATGAAGCCACATAATTATCTGGATGCAGAGCTGGGACTC